TTTCACCGGGTCTTTGTTTTAGCATTTGTTTTATTTTTGTATCTTAGTCACAAGTGTCATTGCTCCTTGTGCTTTATTGTGAAAATGTTTGTGCTTTCGCCCTGTTGTACTGTTCTCTGGCCCTGCGTGTGTTGTACACTAGGTGTGGCCCAGATCCACCGTGATAAACTGCACCGTGTCCCTGTGGACCCTGCAGACGAAGGCTGTCTGAAGCTCAGCAGAGCAGAAACGCACCTCGTTTGTTGTGCTTTTGGTCATGGAGCCTGCAGACAGATCAGATGCTGAAAAGCTTTGTTCACTCTTTTAACTTTAGCCTGCCAAAGTTTTCACCCTCACATGCGTCTGTTCAAATTCATGTTTCCCTGCTTTGGGTTTGTAAAATACAGCTGTCATTTGAACGCAGTATGTAAACACTTTAATCCTGCTCAGGGGGCTTGTGGAGTCTTAATGGGGCCTGTGGAGACCGACACTGCTAACACGTCCTTGGTTTTATGTCCTGACGACAGAAAAATGGTCTTTTAGTTGCTTCTGAAAACAAAATGTGGCAAACAGAAAAGGTCAAATATGTCTGTCTGATAATCGATCTTACTGCTGGTGCACATGCTGTGTGAGATCCTCATTCCAGTTTAGTCCTCATTATTTTAGCCTATTAAATGTGGAAAAATGTGAACACTGCTGTTTATTATTCACAAACTTCAAATTTTAAAATGGTGAAGATTTAGATCTAAAACTTTGTAGCTCCTGCAAAACCCAAGGTGCAAGGTTTTCCCCTGACTGGGACAGACTTGAACAGGCCTGAATCATTTTTCTCCATATGGCCAAAAATGTATGATGGTGGCTGAGATGAGCGCTGATGTAGTCCTGCTTTTAGCTGCCACTGCACACGACACAGCTACTTCAAATCCCAGGGACTGTTTCGGGCACATTTTTGCCTTTATTAGGCATTTATTAGGCTGACATTTGTTAGCTTCTGGACTCAAACCAACAACGTCATTGACTCGATATGCATGTGTCCATGTGTTCCATGAACACGTGCAGACTTATGGATAGTGATTTTTGAACATATTAAATGAAGTGATATCAGAACACAAATACTGCCGAAGGTGGCATGTTATTACTTTTCCTTTTGATTTTCCTTTTCCTGCATATTAACAGAACTAAAGGTGCATTCCATTTAGCATGAACCTGGGAATGACGTCACACCCGAGTTAACAGTGTTCCAGTTTCAGTTAACCATAATACTAGTTTGATCCAGGTTAGCCATTGTTAGCAACACCAGTTTATAACAGTATGTGGTATTTTGCAGCATGTTCACAGAAGTTGGACAGTGCTGTGTATAAGACACAAGATGTAAGCGCTATTACGGAGTATATAGCTTTTTACTGCCGATGCGCAGAGCAGCCATCTTGGGTTTTGAGGTCAGGTTTGGTGAAGTCTGACTTTCTGAGTCAGAAATCCGACTTCAGGGGAAGTTCCAGTCGAAATTATCAACTGAGAACTAGGAACTTCCCGCTTCCCAGTTCAAATGGAACGCACCATAACTACATTTTTTTTATAGTGGTCATTGTTCATCCCTTCATGCCTGTGTCACTGATGGACCACATGGCAAAACGGTGCTGCCCAACATGCAAACTTCAGTTTATGCATTTCCAGCTTTTATGCAGTTCTTCTGATGAGGCGGATGCAGCCCCAGCAGGACGATATCGTTTCATGGTATCTGCTGTTTGTTTTCTCATATAAATCGGAATATTGTTGCATATGTTGACCAGACATGCGCTGTATAGACAGTATACTGAGTGTTACAGTATGGATGTGAGCAAATGACAAAACCCAGATAAGCCGAACTCCATGTGTGATGTCCTAATATGGTCTGTTGTGCTGCTCTCCTGGATCAGAGGCTCAACCTCTGGACCGTATGTCTATCTGAGCTTTGACACCAAAATCTGACTGACTTCATTTCAGAGCATAAAGCCAGAAAAAGAAACCATATCCTTGGAAATGACTCAGCTCATGTATCCATCTGTGAAGTGTTTGTAGACAGCGTTTTGCTACAGAGTGACCCCTGAGACAGAATTGTGGGGCTGCAGTTTGCTGGTTGGAATATCTACATATTTATCTTGTACTAATACTGTTTGGGCCGAAAGCTTTCTTCTTCAAACAACTGAATTAACTTGAGGAAATTGAAATAATTACATGGATCCACATCTTTAATCAGCTGTCCACTTTAAGGTTTCTTTTTAAAGATGGCTTGTGAGCTGTTAAAGCCCACTGCCGTCACGTGGAGCGTGTTTGATGGGCTCCAGACTCAGATCATCCTTCTGTGTTCCCAAAGTCCAAATTAAATTTTGCTCAATAGTTCTTGCTCAATCTAAAGGAACAAGCTGAAAAAACAAACACATGAAACTGGACTTCATGTGCCATGACTCGCCTGTCGGAGGATTTTATTTTTAAATATTATTATTTTGTTTGGTTGATGGCAGATTTTTCTGTTGCATAAAATGAATTAGTACAAACAGAAACAGAGAAAATGAATTACCAAAGCAGTAAACACACACACAGTGGTGTTTAATGCATCTGAGTATTTTTTGGAGACAGTCCATGTTTGGCTTTAGAAAAGGTTATATTAATAACATTAAAACAGTTATTTTTAGGGCCCAGACAACAGTTAAATCACTTTAGACAGAAAAATGTGGCCTTACTGTGTGTTCAGACCAAACTGAATATGTTGTTTCAATCTTGTTAGAATTATTTCTCTTTTCCCTATTTTCTGATCGGCACCCTACAGCGTGTGGCTGTGTGGTGGCGCTGGGGGGGGCAGCACTGTTTGGACAGCACCATGTTTGTGGAGAACCTTTGAATCCAGATTTTTTTTTTCTTACCACTGCAGTTACTGTAGATTCAGCAGCCAAAATGGTTTTGCTTGTCAGTGGATAATGTTTTGGTGAGTGTTTGGTTTTGTTAAGGTCAAGTAAGGATGCATATATTTTAGATATTTGTTGGATTAAATTGTATTTGTAGCACAGCACTGAGTGTTGGCACTGAGGTTTGGCCCTATACTTGGATGTGATTTTCTTTCTTATATAAGTCATCATGTTATTGTATTTGTCTGCATGAGGACACATTGTTGTCTGACTTGTTTTTAATAAAGTATTAAGGCACCGTAGGAGAAAAACATTATGCAGAGGAAAACAATCTAATTTTAGAACAGCACATTTTCATTTTATTTCACGGTAATTGTTTCCTAGCCCTGCGATGGATTGGCGACCTGTCCAGGGTGTACCCCGCCTTCGCCCGATTGCCGGCCGGGATTGGCTCCGGCCCCCCCACCCCCCGTGACCCCGTTCAGGGACTAAACGGTAGAAAATGAATGAATGAATGAATGTTTCCTTTTTCTCTCTTTTCCTGTTGCTAGTTATTTGCATTCAAACAATGTGTGCTAGTGCTCTTGTATTTTTACAGTCCTCACCTTTTCACAGAGCTGTTTGGCAGTTAACACTTGATTTTAAGTTAGAATTAGGCCTAGGATTGTGGCTCGAGGCAGGTTGTGGAATGTGTTATGGCGATGAGGATCCTCAGAGGTAGAGGTATAAACCTGCGGTTCTGAGAGATGTACAGTATGTTAGAGCTTCATGGGCACTAACGTCTGCTGAAAGTCTTCAGACGGGAAATGAGGAAAATGGTGGCACAGCTTATGACGCTGTTCATGTCCTGTCTCTCTAATCATCTAACTTTTTTATTGCTTTCCGGTCTGAATTTCTAACCCTTGTTCCCTTTGTACCAAAACAGTTCTTTCTTTCACCCTGGAACACCATGATTTAAAACAGAGAACTTCCTGGAGCAGCTCAGAGAGAGATTGGAACTCACCTATGAGGTTGGAGTTAAATGTTGTTATCAACCAAAGCTCACATAAAAAGCGTGAGCATCTGCGTGGTGCTGTCGATGTGATGGTCTGCAGGTAAATGGACCAAGACAAACTGTTTAATGCTGCAATGTTGCCGCAATATTTGGTCATAAAGCACTAAGGTAGATATATTATTGTCCCAGTGCTGAACGGTTATTAGCATGCACCATATAAGATTGGTCGAACCTCCTTTGGCAGGAGGAATTTTGGAGCATTCTTCCTCACAGAGCTGCTTCAGCTCAGACATATTTTCAGGATGTCTGGTGTGAGCTCAGTGCACAGTATCTCTGCAGGGTTCAGGTATGGACTCTGACTAAAGTCACTCTGTAGGTGATTGACTTCCATGTTTAGGGCCACTGTCCTGCTGCAGCACCAGCTTCTATGCACTCAGTCTGGTTTACAGCCACCCTGACATTATCCTGGAAGACTCCTTGATAGACCTGGGAATTCATTTTCCAGGCAGCAAAGCAGCCCCACATCATGATGGTACCTCCACCGTACCTCACCTTTGGCACGGTGCTTTCATGCTGCAGTTCCCTTTTTCCACCACACATAGTCCTGTGTATTATCCCTAGAACAATTCTCCAGTCCACTAAACATTTTTCCAGTAGCGCTGTGCTCCTTGGCAGCCTGCAGGCGTGCAGTCATGCTGCTTTTTTGGGGCACAGCAGCCACAAACTGTCTAGTTAGCTGATCGATTAGTTGATTTGTTGATGCATATTTATCTGATGTCTTCTCCAAAGAGAACACAACATTATTTATACTAAAGAGCACATTGTGTTTTAACCTTTGAGTCAACTTCAGTGAAACTAACTGTGAATATGGAGCCAGTCACATTTGGTGCTTGTCGAATCACACGGGGTTTATCATATTGGGTTTTTACACAGCTTGTCAACAGTAGTTTGTAAAATGTCAGATAAAGACAGAGGTGAATTAGACACATACCTACACCAGTGAACCAAAAATGGATCCATCTGTAAGAAAAATTGATTTCCAAAAAAGAAACTCTAAAAGTATAAAGCACAATAATTTCAGTATCAACAACCAAGCTGTTTCTCAGTGCCATAAAACAAACTTCTCGCTGTGTTTTGTGTTCCAGGAGTAGCTCAGAGCGGCGTAAGGAGAAGTCTCGCGATGCAGCTCGCTGCAGGCGCAGCAAAGAGACAGAGGTTTTCTATGAGCTGGCTCACCAGCTGCCACTGCCCCACAGCATCAGCTCACACCTGGACAAGGCCTCCATCATGAGGCTGGCTATCAGCTTTCTTCGCACACGCAAGCTACTCGCCACAGGTATGAACACATACACATAGGGCGCATGCGATTGTAAGCGAGCTCGGTGTGGTGCATTCAAATTTATTCCACAAAGACAAATATGCAAATCTGAATGGCTGCTGCCAGCAAGTTCTTTGGCACAGCATCAAGAGAGATTTGTGTGTTTGTTAGTGTTCATGTGGGTTGGTATGTGTGAGTAACTGTGCAGTGTAGTGGGAAACTATTCCTTGAGCCCTTTCTTTGCACTTCTCCTCCTTCCTCTTGTCTAATTTAAAATTAGAAGCTGAGGAAGCTGCACAAAGAAACAGACCTATTGTTCTGGAATTCCTCCGCTGTGTCGGGGTTTCCAAAAACGATCAGAGAACAACAAAATTAAACAACTGTAGCAACGTCAGTGGCCAACGCCGCAGCTCGTAGAGAGCTGTTTATGGTTCCTTAACAGAGCACAGCAGCCAACAGTCTGTGCAGTTTACGCAGAAGAGAAGGTTGTGAAATGAGGCGCTTCAGCCCTCAGCTCCTGAACAGCATTAAACTCACTCATGGTTTGGTAAAAGTCACATCTGTTCTTTAGTTGATCGGCATGTAGTTAAATCTCTAAATGAAAGATGAAATTGATTACCATCCAACTCGACGGCGCCGTGTGATTGTAGTCTTTTTACTTCACACGGAGAGTAAGTGAATATCTTCTGTGTAACCTCGTACATGTTTTGCTTTTGTTATGGAACCTGAACTTTAATAGAACATAAAATAAATTCCTGTGGCACTGAACAGTAATTGGCTGCTGAACAGGCCTGTGTAATAACCTGCTGGTAGAACACGAAGGCTTTTTGATTAATATGAGCTTAATCTTATCTGGAAATCTTCACACTGCCAGCTGCCATTTTATTCTGGCACTATTCTATTGTTGTGACACTTTTAATGTCGTAATTGTTGTGTTTTATAAACTGCTTTGTAATGTTTACCAGGAAGAGGATGATGCATACATCCACTGCTGGAGTCACTGCTCAGAAAATGAATCACTCTTAATAAGTCCTTTCTTCATGCAGCATGTTGTGTGACGTGAGTGCAGCACAGAGGCCTGCACAGGTAGTAGGAGTAGGAGGACACGGCTTAAAATAGTTACAGGTGAAAACAAGCTGGAAGCTCAATAAGAAAGTAGAAATTACAAGTCCAAAGAATTAGGATTTAGTAAGTAGTGTGATCAAATTGAAAGGTTTTTGTGTAGGATTTATTAGCTGTTTTGTGATCATTAAAAAAATTAAATGATAAACATTTTATTTTTTGCTTCAGTTATCTGTGTGTGCTGTGTTCATGTATACAAAACTTATCTAGTCATACAGATAGTTTCATGCACTAAGAGTCTAAGATATCATCATCTAGAAATGCAGCTGCCATCGTAACCTGGTAGAAGTAAATGGAACTTGTGGCACTAAAAGCATTGAGACGTTACACTGGACAGACCCTAAAGGAGCAGAATAACCCCCAAACCTCGCCGTGAACAGTAAACAGCTTTTGTTTTTTTGGGCTCTTAAATTCAGCATCAAAAAGACAAAGGAGCATAGAAGAAGGAGGGGCGGTGGAGGTATATTTGCTAAATGTATAGACAGGAAGAGGTCAGCGAGCCTAAGAAAGATGTACACAGGAGCAACGAAGAAGGTGAAGAGAAACAGAAGGCACAAGAATGAGTGAAGGGAATGAGGGTAGGAAAGCAGTGGGTGAGAAGAGGACGCTCTGCCAGATGCAGCAGCAGATAGTCTTTATCAGGCCGCTCTAATTGCTCCGTGATGAAGGCGAGATTGGAGAGGAAGCAGAGAGCTCTGCCCATCGTTCAGCCGCTGCTGGCATTAACCCTGCTAGCCATAACACTCGACCGCCTTGGCGCCAAACATGCTGGCATGCGCACACACACACACACACACACTGCACATCCACCCAAGTGTAGTGTAGACGAGCTGCTGCAGGGCACACCTCTGTTATACACGTAGGCTCAGTTAGAACCCAAAGATTCCTGATGTACCGATTAGGAGGTACTTAAGAAATGAGCTGTGCTTCGAGCTGATTAGTACAAATTCAACCCAACTTCAAAAATATTGTCATTAACTATGTTGACTTCAGCTTCTGGTGGGATTCTTTTCTTTATTCCAGGGACGATGGATATTAATCAGCATTACTGTAAATATGCCAGCTGTCCTCCTTGGGAATATTTTGGGCTTTAGTAGAAAAATAAAATTACAGTGCAGCTTCTGGAATCTAATGAGCTGTTAATTTGTAATGTAGAACTGTAAAAACAAGTAGTTTGCTGTTTTTAGTATAAGTTAGCACATAGTTGGAGGAAAACTGTTATTACTGTGCATCTTTAACCAGCGTGAACTGTCTGTTTACATGGATCTTCCTCATTTAACAAATGCAACACATCTAAAACCATAAAAGTGCAAGTTTCAGGAATAATTAGGACCAGGATGTTTTCAGCCTGAAGTAGCACAACGGCTGGAAGCAGAGAGAAGCTGCCTGCTTGTGTTTGTGTCAAAGCTGTCGTCTTGGTTCTCCAATGAGAATGGAAGTGTAAAAATTCAACACTGTTAATTTAAAAGTAGTAGGGTATAGGAAATGATCTGGAGTTTGTACATGCAAATCGAGCTGTCTGTTGGTACCCAAGGGTTCAGGCCAGGTTGGGACAGAAATTTAGAAATGATGTTCAGATCAGGGTCGGGTTCGGACATGCAGGTCAAACTTTAGGCTAGACCACTGGAGTCCTCAGATGTCTGCTTCGTTTAAGGGCAAGGGGAAAAACGGTGCACAAACTCAACTGTGTCGGGTTCAAAATATGTCTGTGCTCTAAAACGATCAGCCTGTAAACTTGACAGCATCACAGAACATCTGAGGTTTAGTTTGGCAACTAAAATATTAAGTGATACTGTTCATACTTTCTCAGTGGAGGTGGCGCTTTATTTAGTACTGCTCTCAAATGAATCATTTTTAAGCCCCGTCTTTAGCTGACAGGCCTTTTTGTGACATCATTTAGTGACATTGAATTGGGCCGTCCCTGGTAGGCTAGTGGTTAAGGCGCAGTGCTCTCGCCACTGAGACCCGGGTTCGAATCAGGGTTGCGTCAGGAAGGGCATCCGGCGTTAAACACGTGCCAAATGTCAACATGCGAGTCGTCAGTGTGACGAATCGCTGTGGCGACCCCTAACTGGGAAAAGCCGAAAGTGACTTTCTATTTAGTGACATTGAATTCTCCTGTTATTTTCTTGGCTTTTGTCAAGAAACTCAAAGACAGACTCTCAGTCGCTGTAGCCCAGATCAGAGGGTGAATGACGTCAACAAGCTTTCCTCTGATAGTTTTGTTAGGCGTCACACACCCTAAGTGATGGTGTCTCTTCAAGTTGACTGTTTGAAACAGTTATGAGAGCAGGCACCAGAGTAGCTGTCCTTATGAACGCAGAAGAAGAAAAAGAATGAATCTGTGAACACACACTGTCTCAAGATGACCCCTTCTGTCCAGCACGACAGAACAAATGTCAAATAAAAAAAAAATAGGGAGGAAATGATTTTGTACAGCCCATTAATTTAAAACGAGGGCAGTTATGTAACCAACAATCAACAGAGAGAAGAAAAGTGCAGCTCAGTCCAAATGTCTGGTAATCACAGCTAAGTATTTAGGCCAAAGGTGCCACTGGTCTTTGGACTGGGCCCTGAGAGTCTCCCCAGCTCCCCGGGGCCCATGAGAAAGCTCTGGGCTCCCCCAGGGGTTAATGCTATCTGGGCCCGGCTCCAAACTTGAGCCCCGGGCCTCGCCAGGAACCTTGAGAACTGGTCTGCCTTATCTTGGGGAAGCACACTGGAGGAATTACGAGCTTCCCACCCTCCACCCCCATCAACTACTGGGCTTTGTTCAGCATGAAGCTGCAGTTCGCACACAAACACACACTCCCTCTTGAGCCTGGCCAGTCAGGCGCTAGCTATGTTTTTGTATTCATTGGCTCTGTGTGTGTAAATGTTCTCATACAGAACTGTATATATTTAAACATAACTGCACACTATGAAAATGATGCTCTAAAAGTGGGCAGTTATTCCAAAAGCCTGTGCAGTTTGGGTGTGATCTGTGGGGCTGGGGGCAGCCTGAGATCCAGGAAGAAGCTGCGCTGGTTTGTTTTGGCCCCGAGTCAAAGCTCCAAGGAGGGAAACAAGCGTGACGCTTGCCCACACGTTCGCAGTATGAATTTATAATCAGCAGTGGATGTGACCCTGCCTTGTGTTGCGTGTTCCCCTCAGGCTGCAGCAACAGCAACGAGGACAGACAGATGGACAGCCTGTACTTGAAGTCTCTGGAGGGTTTCGTCACCGTGGTAACGTCAGATGGCGACATGATATTCCTGTCTGAGAACATCAGCAAATTCATTGGACTCACTCAGGTACACAGCCAGGAACAGAGTAAACCTGCATCACAGGCACTGTCCAGTCAAACTGAGCCTGTACATACGAGTCACCTTACACAATAAACAACGTGTCACATGTTGCATTCAGATGGCGAGAAGATGAAACTCACCTGTTTGTTTTACTGCTGTTTTGGTTTTCATTTGGTTTTTATTAAAGGAGACAACAGAATTTCTTTATCAGCAGGAGATGGTCCTAATACAGAATTTAATAAAGAATAAACCAATCCTTTTTAAAAACTGCTAACACAAGGCTGTTTGTTTCATCTGCAGCTCTTTTTGGATTTGGTCCCGACACACACACTAAACCATGTGCATACTGTGACACACTCATCCAAATATTCACAAAACAAAACCAAAGACTCGTTTCAGCAAAACCATGGTTTTCTGTCAGTACAGAGTTCTGACACCTGTTTGGTCATTTTCTTCATTTATCTAAAAAGAGGTAGCAGATGGGGGGGGGGTCTCTATGCCAGACAGCCACGGACAGAGACGTGGATGTAAACGCTCAGTCAGACAAGTCTGTTGTGTTTGTGTGAAATACCTGTCATGCCAGCAGGATGTGTCCAACTCCAAACACACGCTTCTTATCGTCTGGCCCCGACTTGAAAAGCAAATCACAGAAGAAGAGAACATTTAGAGTTTTTATATATGTTATGGAAGTTACTGTTACAGTATATTGTACATCCACTAATGGTATTTCTGTGTTTCAGGTGGAGCTCACTGGGCACAGCATCTTTGACTTCACCCATCCATGTGACCATGAGGAGATCAGAGAAAACCTCAGCTTGAAAACAGCCGGTCAGCACACAGGCTCACTCACACATATATCCTCCGGCTTGTTTGAACATCATTACAATGATTTTCCATAAACAAATCCCATAGTCGACCTCAGTTTTGTTGCCATGTGTCGTTCCCTGTAAGTCTCTTATTATTTCTAGAAATCTAACAAGCAGTGGTCAAGGGATCGTTACAATCTACGCAGTCTGTCCCCATGAAAGCTTTAAGCAGTGGTCAAGGGATCGTTACAATCTAAGCAGTCTGTCCCCATGAAAGCTTGAAATCACTCGGCTATTGACATGGCAGTGCGCCCATTAGATGATGAGATCTCGAGTGTGCAGAGCTGATCTGTTGAGGTGTTGCTGTGGAAGAGCTGAGGACAGAGCAGGTTCACTCTCTGAGGAGACATAATTACACAAATGGGACGACTAGTTTAGGACTCCTTGTCATGGACGAAGGAAATGTTAGTTAAAGTAAGTAAAAACAAAAAACATTCAGCACATGAGCTTCTGCTTGGGGGACCAAACTTAATCCAAGGAAGAAAAAAAACAAAAAGCTTGGGGGACCAAACTTAATCCAAGGAAAAAACAAAAAAAACAAAAACATGCATGTACAGTAAGTGTGTTATATAACAGCCTATGGAAGTGTCTGGAACAGTTCAACAAAGCTCAGATGGTGACCGTGAAATCTTACCGTGTCTGTTATACAAGTGCACACATCATGCACGTGTTTTGCCTACACAGTGAGCGTCTACTCAGAAAAGAAACATTCACAAAATTGTGTAACACTGGAAAACATGTCTGTAACTGTTTATTTGAGAAAACTCTGGTTGATAAGACTTATCAGTGTGCGCCACTAAACACACAAACGGAACAGAACTGTAAATGTTAAAGTCCTTTTACTTTTACACAAACACTTTTCTTCTGTGGCTCTAGAATAGAGAAAAGTTAGTATGGTTTGTTGTGTTAAAGTGTAACTATATAAAGATAAAGACATTGACAAAAGACACACTTCACCACTTCACCCTGTGACTGTGGCTCTGGGGCTGAACTCTGACCTTGTGATGTAACAGCATGGCTTCATTTCAAGTTCCCCCGTTCCCCCTCTCTGTGTGTGTGTGTGTGTGTGTGTGTGTGTGTGTGTGTCTAAGCCTAGGAAGAAAACAGGAGAGAGAACTGATTTTTTTTAAATAAATCATGGGTGGAATTTCCTTTCATGCATTTTATGCTTGTATTTGAAAGAACAATAGTGTCAAACCGAAGGTTAAACAAAATTTAAAAGTAGCACAGAAGAAGCCTGCACAGTACAACTGGTGAACTTTAAAGGCTTTGGTGTCATATTTTTGTTAGTTGCTGTACAGCTACCTTCAGAAAACTAGTTCCTTTAACTTGGTCTGCATCATTGGACGACTGTGTGATGCTGATTTTATTCATGAAAAGACTTTTAATCACCAGAAACAGCTGAACACGAATTCAGTACTTTAATACTTGTGTGTTTGAATTCAGCTGAACACCTACAACTTCTGTCCACTTTACTGTGACTCTTTCCAGGCAGTGGCTTCTGTAAAAAAGGCAAAGAGCTGAGCACTGAGCGAGACTTCTTCATGAGGATGAAATGCACGGTGACCAACAGAGGACGCACTGTCAACCTCAAGTCAGCCAGCTGGAAGGTAGAGACAGCTGCTGCAGCTACAAGCCCACACACACATGCAACATCTGCACATGTGTGCAGGTTGTTCACATTCTTCCACATGCAGTGTTTTCAATAGATCTTTGGTTTCTTAAGGTTTTTAATTATGACCCCTTAAAATGAGTAATAAAGCAATTTGAGGCCATCGCAGGCTGGAAATGTAAACATATTGCTAACAGCTGGTGAAAGAGTCGTTTCTCCTCCTCAGACTGATTTATGTGATGAATATTTCAAAGCCTGAGGAGGTAAAATGATCCAGTATTTCACAACAAATGACAAAGATTAGATAATCCTGTCCTGTTAGTGATCACTCAACCCCTGAGCTTGGTCATACACAAACATCAAACAAATACATATTGGATAGAAAAGGTAGATGTGGTAGATATGTCCAAGTGTTACTGTGACAAAGCTGTCACTCCAATGACAAGATTCTGAAGACAGGTCCGTTTTAGCTGCTCACGACACCAACCGCCAGAGACACGACCACCACCCAACCTGTTGCTTCCCTCCAGGTGCTGCACTGCACCGGACACCTGAAGATGTACAACAGCTGTCCTCCCCGAGTTCTGTGCAGCTTCAAAGAGCCGCCGCTCACCTGTGCTGTCCTGATGTGTGAACCCATCCCACACCCGTCCAACATCGACACGCCGCTGGACAGCAAGACCTTCCTGAGCAGACACAGTATGGACATGAAGTTCACCTACTGTGACGAGAGGTGGGCAGAAACACACTCAGTCACACGGTGTTACACAGAGAGTCAAAGAGGAGACCGTACATATAATACTTATCTCTAGTATCTGAAGCCTTTTTGGGAATATTACTAACTAAAGACATTTCTTCACTATTACATTATGCACCATGTGAGCATAATATAGATGGAGTCAGATTAGGGCCTTAAGACGAGACAAACTAGAGCTACAGCGAACTGTTATTTTCATTGTCAGCCTTTTTGGTTTTTGATCGCTGTATTTGCAGTTATAAGAAGTAAGAGTAAAAAATAAAAATTTGAGTCTGAAACCAAAAGATGAACTTGAGAAACAAAGATTCGCTCCACTTATCGAGACTCAAAGGAACCTGAGTAGGTTCAGTAGAAGGACATCGTCAGGTTGCGGTTCGTTGCCAGTTAAAACATGATTCTTAAAAATAGAGCACAAGTTATTTACACACATGGATGAGTTTTTTGACTGATTGCAGTGTGTTGACTGAATCAGTTTCTCTTGGCAGGAACGTAGCTGAGAAATGTAATCCACAGATGAAACATTAATACTTTACTGAGATGCTGTCAAGACATTGTCAGTGTTAAAGGCGTTCCTGATCACAGATGCACAAGTGGACAAACATACAAAGCCACCACAGAAAGCACACAGACATTCCACTATTTCACAGTCAGGCAACTTGAACGGGACGGTCCTACACACCGTCACGTGTGCGTGTGTGTCATGTGTGTCACCAGGGCGATGGATGTTTGCACCAAAACATTTTTCTCCCACTGGCACAACGGGCCCATGATGAACACACTCACACAAATTTGAGTTGTACAAGCACATGCATGCAGACTTGTAATCTTATCAAGGTGCTCATGCAGGACAAAGGCTTCTTTTGGAGGAAGGTGAATGTGATTTGTGTATCGCACGGACATGTCTGTGCATGACCACAATACTAACAATGACCCATTTTCTTTTTTACCTGTTTGGTGCAGTTTAACAGCTGCTCAACTCCTCTGTCCAGTTAAGCACATGAGTGTACTGTAGGTGGGTCGCCCTCCCAGCTCAGCAGGGACTGGGATTCCTTTTCCATCTCCTGGTACCAGCAGTGTTTGGCAGTGAGAGGTTGATGAGGGAAAGGAGAGGCAGAGAAACAGAGGGAGCAGGAGAAGAGGGAAAAGAAAAGAGGCTGTGTATTGAAAAAGGGACAAACTTGGTGACGAGTGGCAACATCCAGGAGGAGTCATAACCTCCGTATTATTCTTCCTGTATGATGACTACTATCAAGCCTCATCTGGTTTTAGAAAAAGAAGCTTTTATTCTTTTTATAGGAACATGAAGTTGTAAATGCAGCTGCCAAGATCTTTAAGAAAATCAATATTCTATCAGGAAAGGAACAATGAAAATTGAGGGTGCCCATGACATAATGATAAATCCAGCTGATAAGGGAGGAGGCATTCTCATCGTAACCTGAGCAAAACTGAACTACAAAATAATTAGATTTCCACTGCAGATGGGTGGATAGTTTCACTTAAATTCACAGACCCAGCAAAGGAAAACTTCAGGAGTAGAAGGCTTGGCTGGCAAGAAAGTGGCACTGTATGTAAATCTGGGATTTAAAGACGTAAGAACAACAGCAGGCTTATATGCAAATATAGTCACAGGTTTGACAGCAGGAGTGGCCTGGCCCGAGTCCAAAAACAAGAAGTGCCTGTTGTTGTTAGGTGCCTCTCAGAAACATAAGAGCTGCTGCTGCACCTAATGATCATTTTTGCAACAAATGAAATGATATTTTTTATTAATCAATTAGTCTGTAAAATGTCCAAAGTAATAATTGTCTATAACAGTTATCAGGCCACAAAGTCTTCAAACGATGTCTTGTTTTCCAAGCTACAGACAGAACACGTAAAGTTATTTAACAAAAGTAAAACATTCCAGCTGACACCAGGGTTTGCGCACATACAATAACTACAAGCGTCCTCAGTCTCACTCATAGTGTGTGTGTTCTGATGACTCACTAGTCAGGTACCACTCACATGACACACACCATTCATTTCAACTGTACCTTAAAGAATCCCTAATACACTCGTTAGACTCACACATTTAGATATCTAGAGAGAGAGAGAGAGAGGAAGAAGGTTCAGGGTTGTGGGGGGGGGGGGATCACATAGAGGTGGCAGTGTTTGTACCGGGGGTCTGGAGCCAGCAGTCATCATCACTATTATAATGTGCTAGTTTAGAGTTGGTTTTCTTTCTTTGTTCACTAGAATTCTTCATCTCTTTTCTCCCTTATCTTTCCTATGTTCCATTTTCTGACCGTTCGCTTCCTAATTTTTCTTCTTCTGATGTACGTTTCTCATCTTCTTTCATCTTCTCTGCCCTCCCTCCCTCCAGTCTGAGGCCTGCAGCTGGCAGTGTTATGTAATCTGAGGACAAGAGTCTCTGCACAGCCAGACCCCCCTCTCCTCCTCCTCCTCTTCGTCTCTCCCCACTCCACAGCTTCACCCTTCTGTAACACTTTAACTCACCATCTTCAGGTTTTGCATTTTCACTGAAACGTTCGTCTGGCAATGTGCAGACAGACATCAAGTGACAGACGATGGAGATAAATGGGAAACTTGCTTCCATTCATATTTATCAAAGCAGCTACAGTGAAGTACAGTAAAATATGATCAGTTATAGATAATCAATATGCTCATTATGTTGGACTTCCTTATAACTTTATAATCATATATTCATTGGAAATTAGCCTGTTATACTGCAGATATTCATGTTTGATCCATATGTTCTTTTGACAATCAAGATATTTTTTACAATTATAAACATACATGTATATACAAATTTTGACAGAAAGCAAACATTTTTAACACTTTAAAATATTTAAAAATATCTTTGGCATGGTGTGAGACAGAATGGGGGAAAGTGAAACGGGTCCTTTATGTTGGTTTAATCACATTTATAGATTGAAACAAATCAAAATAAATTCAAGAATCAAATGATATTTGTAACATGAGTCGTTATACGATCTCATGGTCCAACAAACAAAAGACTTAAGTTTCCTAGGAAGACAGATCCTTTAAAAAGTAAGAGAGACGCGTGTATTTGCTGGGATCATTTGAGTTATTCTGTTACGGTTTGCAGTAAAACATAGCAAACTATACACAACTAATATTTATGTAATCAAGGATCAAAATGTACAGTAAAACACTGAGGCTAAAGGTTGCACTACTGCCAGATTAAAAGATTTTAGTGGTGGCTGTAGTCAAATAAAATCACATTTCACCCACTTTGTTTTAGACTAAACATGGTGAACTTGGCTTTGTCCAAGTTTTCCCTCCCTGGTCTCCATATACCCATAAACCTTGTGTCTGGGGGGGTCATTTCCTGTTGTTGGTGTGGATCATGTTCTCACAGCACAGTTTGTTTGCACGAGACTCTCCTACTCATGCCCTTTGATCTAATTGTTTAATTTTAACTGGGTTGTAAATCAGACCAAAGCCAAGAGAGTGAGTGAACCACTCCGAGTATGTTTGGCGTTAAGAACGCCGTGATCCCGTAGCTGCTCCCCAAACCTGGATATTCGGTTATTTACTGGGAAAATAGAACAGGAGAGAAATAACACGGGGAAAAATAAATGATTTTTAAATGAGGTAACTTAAAGCCTGCAGCAAATTTCTCATTTACAGAGTGAACTCTTGATGAGAGTGGAAACTGATTAGCTGTTCCCAGAAACTCGGGGAGTTAGCAGAGAGAGAATTTGAGCAATTCTTATTTTTGGAAGACTGTCCACTTGTGCTTGGTTTCGAAATTGTGTGTGAAGCCTTCTGAAGGGCAGAGGTTCAGGACAGAGCACAGGACTTGTCTTCTGAACACAGCACGTAGAATGGGAGTCGCACAAAGGTTCAAATTATTAACACAAATCCTGTGCACTATTAAATGTGTGTGCCTGTGTGTTACAGGGTAACAGAGCTAATGGGGTACACACCTGATGATCTGCTGGGTCGGTCAGTCTACGACTTTTACCACGCCCTGGACTCAGACAGCATCACCAGGAGCCACCACAACTGTAAGAACACACCACACACACATGCAGATGAATCCCTGTGGGTGGACACAGCGCAGTCAGATCAACACAACACAAAGTAAAGATGACGCAACATCTTGTCAGACACCTTGGCTACGTCAGCCTCTATCACAGTCCATGTTCTCACTGAGGCTGCGTGTGCGAATCTGTGTGGCTACATAAACATTCAGTATTTCCTGAATGAGAGGTCAGTTCAGTCACATTTACCTCTGAAGCCAGCGAGGCCGGATCAGTTTCACTTGCCTTTCACTTACTGAAATGAGCACATTTCAGCTCCTTCCAAATTCCGTTGAGCATGAAAATCCAAAGTAAACACACTCTTGATCCATTTATTGTCTAATAAAGGTTGTATCAGACAGCATCATCAGTCAAAAAGCCTGGTTGTGCTAGCTGACTAATATTTGCTTGCTAACTACTTCATCTGTTAGCAAACATTTTAGCCCTGCCGTGGTCTCAGCCCATTTGTTTCTTCTCATGTTATCGTGGCAAATTCATGTAAATTTAAATGTCTACTCCATGTGAGAAACACAAGCTTGTTAATTATGAGTATCAGGTCATGTTTTCTTAAGTTTTATCATTTGTTTTAGTCCCTAGAGATATGTGTGCAAATGTATTTGTGTCTGTCTGTATATATGTAAGTGTTTTTTCTGTGTGTGTGTGTGTGTGTGTGTGTGTATGTATGTGTGTGTGTGTGTGTGTGTGTGTGTATGTGTGTGTACAGAGCAGGGGCAAGGTATTAAGATGTCTTTTATTACATTAAGCAGAGCCACTGATGGCCTGATGAGGTTTGCACATCTGCTGCCACAAACACAAACGCAGTGGACAGGGGACCAGGTGGCCTCTATTACAATCTAATGACTGTGTGTGTGCGTGCATGCGTGCGTGCATGCTAACAAGGCTCTGAAGTGTCATGGCTTTTCTCTCCACTGATAGTACTGTAACATTAGACGCTCTGAACAACAGTGAGAGAACAAGAGGAAAAGTGGTAATTTAGTTCCTTAAAACCAGCATAATGTAACATAATGGCAGCATATGCCTGCGTGTACACTGTGTGTGTGTGTGTGTGTGTGTGTGTGTGTTTGTACACTGTAAATGTCCCTTTTACCCACAGAATCACTCTGTTTCTGTAACAGAGCCAATGATTTCCAGCTCTTAGAATCCAGTGTTCTGATATCTTAAGACATTTTTCTTCTAAAACATTTTCACATTATAAAATCTTTAGTTTTTACAGGAGTAGAACAGATGTGAAGTCACTGACCTTGACCTTTCACCTTTGACCACCAAAATCTAATCAGTTCATCCTTGAATCTAAATGGATATTTGTGTCACATTTGAAGAAATTATATCTGAGCTGCTGCGTTTAAGAGAACGGGCCAAACGGACGGACAACCTGAAAACATAATGCCCCCAGCCATGGCTATCGCCGGTTCTGAGGCTTGATGACTATTTATAGCAGTATTTTATTTTAAATCTAGTATTTTTACTAGAATACGTGTACGGTCAAGTACAAGTAGCCTATTACCTTGTAGCCAGAGCCTCATATCTAGTAGATTTTTTAATAGTCTTGTTCTCCTAAAAATTACAGCTATAATAATGGTGATAATCATTATCACCGACTTCTGTTATTTCAAAAAAGAATTAAAACACATCCATGTACATGGGTGCTGTAATTTAAGTCACTCCCGCATCCAAACTGAGCAGCATGCCAAAGCCACAGCTGAAAACAGCCCCCAGCAGAATAATCACCTTTATTTGGCCAAGTATGTTACACACAAGGAATTTGTTTCCAGTACAGAACCGAGGCAGCCATCTGCGGCGCCAACTCAACTGATGAGTCTCACCATGAGGGGCAACTTGGGGGTTCCGTGTCTTGCCCAAGGACACTTCGACACGTGGACTGGAGGCACCGAGATTCAAACCTCCAACCCTCCAGTCGGGAGACGACTGCTCTACCCACTGAACCACAGTTGCACGCCGAATATACTATTTAACTCCTGATAGACTAAGATTTACTCAAAAGTACCCAGTAGTTTTAGGAACTTATGTAACCTTTTAAAATCATAGCAACCTTGACCTTTGACCTACAAATTATAATCAGTTCAGTGGATGTTTGCGCCAGGTGCAATGTGAAATTCCCTCAAGTCATTCTTGACATACTGCGTCCACAAGAATGGGATGAATGCGAGGTCACCATGACCTTTGAATTCTCAAAATGTAATCCATTCATGCTTTAGTCCAAGTTTGTGCCAGATTTTTTAAAAAAATCCCTCAAGGCCTTTGAGGTTTCACATTCACCAGAATGGCTGGAGTGATGTACAAGCTGAAAACAAAATGCCTCCAGGTGCAGCTATTGCTGGTGCAGAGGCGTAAAAACAAAATGAAGGAACTTGACTTCCAAATAAGACTTGAGGACTCAGATTGTCTGCAGAGTGTATGCATGTTTCTTTTCCTCTGGTATAAGTTATCTGTGTCCGTGTCTACAGTCCTTAGATGGCCCAAATGTCGGAGGTAAAGGGCTCTCTATCTGTGTCGCACACACACACACACACAACCCGCTCTCACAGCCAACGTGACTAGCCTGTCGATCAGCACATGCTAACAGCGTTCCTCTGCTACATGTAACATTGTCCCGAGCTTCCTCAACACACACACACGCAGTCACTGCCCTTATGTACACTCTCAGACCAAAGTCCTGCTCCTTTCCCACGACAGTGCTGATCTTTGGACTGAAGCCAGCACATCTCCTCCTCAGCTCACAGCCAAACCTCCCAGTGTCTCTGCAAACCAGTGTTTGGTTGATTTTATAGCCTCGTGCAAAATAAATACATGTTGCTCCATAACTCAACAATTTTATACATTTAAATAACAAAAGAGTGCAAAGGCCTAGTTGGACCAAACATCACGTAGTTACAGCTGCCCCTCTCCCCCTCCCTTTGCAGTGTGTACCAAGGGTCAGGCAGTGAGCGGTCAGTACCGAATGCTGGCTAAGAACGGAGGCTACGTCTGGGTCGAAACCCAGGGAACTGTTATTTACAACAGCCGCAACTCCCAGCCTCAGTGCATCGTGTGCATAAACTATGTCCTCAGGTAAGACCTGGAGTCCCCAGCAGTGTGGTACTGGCAGAGTTTGAATGAAAAAGTTTAGCAACATAGCAGTTTTAAAAGGGTTTCAATGACTATTTTTAATGGAAGAACCTGCTACATGATTAAATATAGTGTTTAACTGTGAACTGTATGTTTAAAGAAACTTTCTCAACATGTTTCAACCCTGTGTTCACACTAAACTTACCTCACTCAGTCTCCCCTTCTCCAACACTGCAGTGACATTGAGGAGAAGTCAATGATTTTCTCCTTGGAGCAGACAGAGTCTCTGTTCAAGCCACGCTTCTTCTCTGCTGGAGGTGCAGGTGAGAGCGGAGAGCCAGGAGATGCCCTTTTCAATAAACTCAAAGAGGAGCCGGAGGACCTGGCCCAGCTGGCTCCTACACCTGGAGACACCATCATTTCCCTGGACTTTGGTATGTATTGACTCAACATCTAAAGGCATTTGTCAGTGAAGCCTGGTAATGTGCCATGGTGTGTCATGAAGCACCCTTTTAAGAAAGCAAAAAGGAGGCTGTGTAATAACTAATACTGCTGCAGTTTTAACCCATTGTTAGCCTCATTTCACCACTCAGCTAACTGGTAACATACAAATCTCATTTCCAGAAAAGTTGGGAAATTTTCTAAAATGGAGTAAAAACTAAAATCTATGACTTGTTTATTCACTTGTTTGTTTGACAAAGGTGCAAAGAAAAGATTTTCAGTGTTTTCACTGACCAATTGAATTGCATTTTGTGACTATAAACATTTAAAATTTGATGCCTGCAACATATAAGACAAAAAAGTGTACAGAATATTCCAGTAACACCATTCTGCAAGATCCCAAACTTAACAGGTTAATCGGCATCCACCAATCAGTAAAAAAAAGAACCTTTCTCAATACACGATTGCAAACAGTTTGTTTTTCACCATCTACATATTGTGAAAAGATTCAGGGAATCTGGGTAAATCTCAGTGCGTAAAGGCCAAGGGTGAAAACCATAACCGATATTATCCTCAGTTACCAAAAGGTGTCATTAAAAGCAAAGGGTTTTTGTGTTACAGGTATCAAATTATAAATGTGTTTATATTTACATACACTATTAATTTGGTAAGTAAAAACCCTGAAAACCTTTTCTTTGCACATTAAAGTTTTGAGTGAATGAACAAAGCACAGTTTTTATGGCATTTTCTGGAAATGGGGTTTGTACATTAAGATTGAGTTTCATGATGTCTGATGATGTCCTGATTTTATTGGACACCTGCTGTCCAATCAGAAAGGGGGTGGCTGGGTATATTTTGAGCTTCAGTATTACCTGCACTGCTTCTAACCATAGGTTTAACATCATTTGGTGAGATCCTGACAACACAGTTTTAGCATTAATTTTGGGAGATTAACAAGGAGTAACCACGAAAGGCATCGCAAATGTACATGAAAATTGGCATCTACAGTTACGGTCTCTTGTTTGTCAAGCCTTTTCCTCCATAGTATTTTTACTCTTGACTCAACTGACTTGACGTGCAGGTTGCCCTCAGTTCAAGGAGCCCCAGCAGCCAGTGGGATACACCCAGGTGTCTGCTGCAGCTCTGCTTCCTCTGGGAACACCATCCTGGGCCAGAGAGAACCACAAGCCTGCCCCTCCGGCATCAGGCCAGACCTCAGCTCCAGTGACAGGGGACATGGCTAAAGTGGCTGGCACAGCAGAATCTGCCGCCAGGCAGCGCCACTCCGAGCCTCAGCACCTGCTCCACGGTAATGACGAGGGTGGCACTGACAGACTGAACATCACATAGAACTGAGTATTAGCTAGTGAGCAAACGACTGGTTGTGTGTGGTTGTTTGTTCTTTGTGTTTAACGAGGCCTGATTAACGGTCACTGCCAGCGGGCAGTATGTGTGAGAAGAACGGGGGCGGGTAGTTGGAAGGACCAGGCTCTTAGTAGTGAATGGTGTCTTTGTCAACACTCACTTCTCACTCTTTGTTTCTGTAGCTTTCTTTTTACACTCTGCTCTCTTACATCACTTTTTCATCTTGTTCCTTTCTGCTTCTCTTCCTTTTTCCATCTCACCCCATGTTTGTTAACCTCTTTCCATCCCTGCAGCCCAGCAGCCCCGAGGATTACTACAGCTCAGCGGACAGTGACCCGAAGATGGATCTGACTGAGAAGCTGTTTGCCCTGGACAAAGAGGGCAACAACGGTCCTGCAAACACTGAGGTGCAGTATGCTTATGTCTTTGTCTCGCTGCTTATCGGTCCATGAATTTGACAGAGGTCTTGAATAGAAATGCAGACCTGACCTCCTTTGTCCCCCTTCCTTTTTGGGAAAAGCTTATAGACATGGGTAAGGTTTTCTCGTGTAGAAGATGTAGTATTGTAGTATTTCTACAACATCGCAAGCATTTGATAAAAAAAAAGCTGAAATAATCAGTATAAACATTTGGTAATTTTATTCTTATTTTAAACCATTTGTTTTCCAAGCAGTGTTTTAGTTCTTCTCTCTATATTCTGCAGTTAATTTTCTGCCAGGTTTTATTGGACAGTCTCAGATCTGTGCACTCCCAGCATTATTCATGGCCATATTGAAAATGCAAAACCAACATTCAGTGATTATTTCAGTTTTACAAATGGTCACACAGTGCTGCCACTGCTGTTTACGGACATGGTGCCAAACAACTCCCTTCTCTTATAGAACATACAGCTACATAGCTGAGCAGCGAGCCATTCCTTATGCATTTCACTTTTCTAGATGGACTTCAGCAACTTGGATCTGGAGACTTTGGCTCCTTACATCCCCATGGATGGAGAGGACTTCCAGCTGAATCCCATCATCCCAGAATCAGAGCCCCTGGAGGGAGGGCCAGTAGCATCCATGGGGAGCAGCAGCAGCCTGGCCCAAACTCATCGAGCCACCCAGCAGTTCTTCAGCAACATCGCCAGCCTCTTCCAACCGCTGTCCTCCCATCCTCAGCCTCAAGGCCACTACCAGCCCCATCCAGCTCCCCCCTGGGCTGCAGGGGAGAAAAGGAGCTCCCGCCAGGGGGCTGGGGGCCTCCGTGCACAGTATTACATGATGGGGCACATGCAGAGTCCCCCATACCAGGCTCCAGCTAGCATCCCGCTGTCCTCCATGGGTGGCAGACAAAATCTACAAGGGGGGGACAGACAAAATCTACGGGGCCCGCCGGCCCCGTTGATACCCTCCCAACCGCCGCCACCGCGAGCCACCAAGGCCTACCTGATGGACACACTGAGGACAGGACAGGAGCAGCCATCCTGCCAACAGAACATGACACATCTCATGCAGAGGTGAGGAACAAAGTCCTTAGAGCCACATTTTAAAGTAAAAGAAAATACATCATTGCAAACATAAGA